TATATACTATATATATATATATATATATATTAGAATGTTAAAATGTTTTTATTTCCTACAAATAGAACTTTGCACGCAAAGGAAAGCATAATATTTTTAGAATTTGATACCGTGATACAGAAATATAACAGAAATAATCTAATGTTGACTTAAAAAAAATATTATATTGATATTTCTGCCAATAATTAGACTATATGTAAATAAAAATTAAAAAAGCATAAACTATACAATTGCATTACTAGGTCTACATCCAAATATGCAACGTGTAATTTGAATAAGAACTATTGTATGAATATAAAAAGTATACAAATTATTAAAATCTGATTCAATATTTTTAACATATTGATGGAATATAGTGTACATTTATAAAATCTAATGATAGATAAAGATTAAAGAATTTACTTTCCAAGTGTTGAAAACATAGCGCAACGTGATCAAGTAGCATCTAATACGAAACAAATCGATGTAGATCCTATTAATGATTAGCATTCTCTATATGTATTTCTAACTAATTAATTTTCACATTCTCTGATGATGCTGACATCAATTCCCTGACAAAACTCAAATGATCGCGCCTATATTACAACCAATATAAATTTATTTAGATTTAAATTATGTCATTATATATATTTTTTAATATATTAATATATTATATATAAAAATTTAAAAATAAGTTTTTATAAAGTTATTGAACACTTTTTACGAGTTTTACTTTTCGAAAGGAAACACACGTCAGCATCTCGTGAAACAACGAAAAATATAAGTGAATGCCTACATCAAACAAAAGATACAGATAATAAAAGGGTAAAATATAAAATTGAAGAGACAATTCAGTGAAGTAGAGCACGTTAGTGGAAATATGAAGATATCCCACGCACCATCACCATCAAAAGTCTTAGTCTCCGCATCGCTTATTCTCTTCTTAAATTGTTTTTCTAACAATTATACCAAACCTAGACTGACATTGTAATAAAGATTTTATTTTGCGCGTTCTTCTTTGTGCGTCTCTTTGGAAAATCGTATACACATATCTTCTGCAAGCCATTATAATGTTGCATGCAAAAATAGTTTCGAACATTGAACGTACAAACATTTAGAAGAATAATCCAGAAAGAAAAAAATATTCTATAAGATGGGAATGTAATTTATCGATAAATGTGGATGCTGCAAAAGATTCTATGGATTCTATGGATTCTATGGAAATGATCATCATCGATGAGAATTCGGGGTAATAGTTGCTTGTAGAATCATATTATGCTATTGGAAAGAAAATAACAATATTCCTGCACTTAAAAAATAAATATAAAAGATATAAACACGTGAGCCATGCAAATTATGAATCTTAAAGAAACGGCTCACCTGAGGCCCCGTCGGTAGCCAACCTTACGCTTGCATTTCAACATTATTCAAGTCCAACTCCCTTTAGTTCGATCATATTTCTTTTTTTATCTCACTGCACTGGCATTACAAAATGAACTTTAGAAACAAAAATTGTATGCTGCGATCCGTGTAATTACAATCTATTCAGGACACTCATTAGTGGTACGTGTTAGCATTCGGATCACTTATGTGTAAATAAGTTAGATATACGGATGCTTGTATGTCTTATGATTGTATAACCCGTTCATGTGCTAATTTGTTCGTCTTTATCAGACGAAACAAACATACGGGAAAGACAGATGTAAAGTTATAAGCACACTTATTGAAATCCACGATATTTACACGAACAATAAAATACGTTACTTAATTTTTAATCTCCCATAAGTGCATTAAAAAAAATAAATAAAAATTTAAAATTAAAAAAAAAATAAATTTTCTTTAAATAAACCAAACACGTTTATAGTTTTATAGTTCGACTACATAAATATATAAATTTTATAAATTTTATAAATCTTGATCGCGCAAGATGATTAATATCGCCATAATTGAATGATATATATTCACAGAGACGATTGTTAGAAAAACAATTTATAGATGAAATCTCAGAAAAGTACAAAAATAATTAGATTCCCATACATTTCTAATGCTAAATATGTTTATGTTCTACATAAGCGTTTTTCAACGTTAGTAAGACAATGCAAACGAAAAATATTTCTTCTTTTAATTTAAAGATGTCTTCGTGATTTTTTGAGTCCCTTTGAAATAATGAAAACAAATCAAAGTGAAGAAATATTTTGCATGTGCGTTACAAGTGAAGCAGAAATTAATGTTACATCTACGTATCAGCTCATTTGTTTGACAAATCGATAAATCTGGATACTATTAATCTGAATAATATTAATTTAAAGCGTTAGACAACGTTAGGATACGTACACCGGTGTTCTAAAAGTGTGCATAGTGGAGGAACCAGAATATGCGCAACCACTATAAATCAATAGACAACTTACTTAATCATATTACGTTTTGTTTCGATCACAAAATGTATAAGGAGTATTTAAGAAGAAATAATGTCACTGTCACCGAACACCATAAAGAAAGACTAACCGACAGAGAAAAGTAATAGATAAAGATCTACAAATGGGAAATGCTCGAATAAACCTGATCCTATATCACGTCACAAATCGTGAAAAAAGTTTCTCTAAATATCGTAATAAAATAAATTTCTGAAAATATCTGAAAATTTATATTTAATATTTAATAATTATTAATTTATGATAATCAGATTTCTGAATTAATTATTGACCATTTATATTCGAGCCATATATAGGTATTAAAAAAAAAAGCAGCATTTATATGGTAGATAATACTCACCAAGCTGAGTAAAAATCTCCTAGCAGGGCTGAAATCCAATCTTTTCGGAATTAGGAGCGACTTTTTTATGTAAGAAAGCTGCTCTCAGAAACAAACAAGTTACAAAGTTTTCTGACATAAAAAAATCATTTCTAACGATTGAGTTTTGTACCTATGATTACAGGAAGTTTTTTACTCAGCTTGATGAGTATGTCTATAATAAATCCTGCATCATTTTTTTCAATGTCCCATATAAATCATTCGGATAAGATCACCGATTAAAAGTGTGACAATTATTTTTCACACTCCTACTAAGTTAGCTTCCTCATCAGCGCAAAATAAATTTTCATATATTTTAAAATTAAATATTAATTAGATGCTCAAGTCCGAAATTAGATGCTCAAACCGTTATGCGTCGAACCATATTTGTTTTTTCATATAAGCAAAAATTTTTTTTTATTGGAGGAAAGTGCTAATTTAATGTTTAAGCCAGCCCTTCTAAATATTTTTTTAATTTTCTGCCAAATTGTTCGAGCACTTAATTTCGGAGCATCTAATTAGCACCTAATGAACACTTAATTTTAAAATAAATGAAAATTTATTTGGCGCTGATGCGGGAGGCTAGCTTAATAGAGGCATTTTTCATGATAGATGAAGGACTGTGTGCAAAGTTATTTTATGTTTCGTACTTTGAAGATACCTTTAAAAGGAAGAGAACGAGATAAATAGAAACCCTTACAAACAGAAGCACAATAATCGTCGTTAATTATACGTCGTACCAATGAGATTCAAATAAAGAGGACGATTATCTTGTGAATGTACTCGGTAGCTAACGTCAGCATCAGTAACTTCTAGTGTACATTGTATATTGTATCCTAACAACAAAGTGAGAGAAGGGTATGGTAGAGGGGGTACGGGAGTAAAATGTAAACTGTTACATTTAGATCCTCTGAGAGGGTTCCTGGAGATGCTGGGAGGTGGAACAGCAGGAGGCAGGTTGTTCCCTTGAGGGGTGACAGGTGCCGAACCAGACGACCCTGCTTGCCTCTGTTTGTCTGAAACAACACTTATCGTTCTCACGTTTTTGAATACCTCCTCGTCAATTGACGGCCCTTTCTTTCTCTTACTTCATGTTGCACTATTATGCATGTTAGTTCCGATTCGAACTCGAATGACCTTTGCACTTTCAATGGCATAAGAACATTCCAGAGGGAGTAAGAACATTCTAAATAACTATACAATATCTTCTTATATTTTCGTATCTGAATATATGACAGTAATATTCGATAGACAAGAATTATATATGCGATAGACAAGATTTATATATTATATATATTATAAAGCGAATTAAGTACGTACTTTAATCATGTAAAGAAATATGATTAAGGAATTTTTGTTTGCACACGATAACTGAGCACGCAAACTAATTCATTGCTTTACTTGTCTATTTATTTCCCATAGATAAACAAAATAATAAAAGTAAGGATTAGTGATTAAAAGTGAAGATTAGGAGATCACTTTTCAATAGCCTTGATCTTGACATATATTGTCAAAATCATGATTCTGAGTAACCCTTGAAAAATTTTAGTCGTGGGACGTCCTTCGTTAAAAAGTTATGATCATAAAAAGTTATAAAAATTATGATAAATTTTCAGAAAAGATTTTTATTTTCTTATAATCTTTCGTCTTATTAAATTAATGAGTCAAATCATATGCTAAAAATGAGATTAACAAAGACTCCAACGCAAGGATTAGATGTGGAGCTTTCGCTGATCTTTTCATTTTGTTATAAATCTAATCTTGTAGTATTGTTTTCGTAATTGGTTCTGAATAGTGGAGGAGGAGGGAGTTCGCCCTCCCCAACCATCCACCATGAGGCTTAGTCCTCTGGACTCCTGATCAGGGAGGCTTCGCCCCCCGAACCTCCCTATTATGCATACCGAGTCACAACACATACTCAGTTTGATGCATTATATCGCTATGACAGATTTCCTAATCAAAAAAAGGTCAACTTTAACGCTTAATATCTCGGTTCACGAGGCAGACCATCGTGTTTTTCTGCCAGATTCTTTTATTTTGAAACCGTGTCGATTAATCAATTTTATCAAAATCAGAGGTGAAGACCGTATTATAAATAAATACCGTAATATTATTAATTTCGCCAAAATTGATATATTTCTCAAAACATTTTGTTAATAACTTTTTAACAAAGAACGACCGACGAATAAAATTTTTTGAAGGTTACTTAGAGTTATGACTTTGACAACATATGTCAAGGCCATTAGAGGAAGATTTCCCCTAATCTTCATTTTTTCCTAAAGTAATAATATATATTCTTAATATACATAAAAATATAATTTGCAATATACATATAAGAACATAATTAATAATTAAATTAAAATAAATAAAAAACAATCCCCCTGGAACACGATGATTCTGTATGCCATCCCCCACCTAATGTTAGATCATTACGCATAAGCAAGTATAACACAACAACCACATAAGCATAAATAAGTCGGTAAAAATTGTACTGCATATCATATTTGAATTGATATATCTGTGATCGAGTGCTACAATTCAATTGGGCAAGTGTATAATGTGATCAATGATACTAATGGATATAAAATTAAAATGGCAGAACAAGCCTACCCAGACGTATATGCAATGTTATGCCAATACTTATAAATATTCATTCTGGATGACGATAGAATTTTGTCAGAAATGATCAAAAGTATGATCCACGCCTTTCGTGTAACAATATGGAGAGCATGTGAGAGTGTCTCGATGTAATGTAAACATGTTATAAGAAACAAAAAGAAATATGCCTTGCATGAGATGTAGCATCTCATTGCATCAAGCCAAGGTAGGTTCAAACTATCGCAATTAAAGAAATAATGAAACTTCGAAAAAGTCTACGTAATTTCAATGAAAAAGAGAGAGAGACAGAGAAAGAAACCTACCCTGGGAGTTGGACATGAACAGGTTGAGTAGCGAGGTAGTACGGCGGGAAGCCTTGGTGGCTTGTACATGTGACAATTCTCTGTCCTTTTCCTTCTGTCTTTCTTTTTCTTTATCCTTTTCCAGTCCCACCCTTTCCCTTTCCTCATCCAATACCCTCAAAGTATCACCCTCCCTTTTTAATCCCTGATTTTTCTTTGAACTGTGACTGTTACCGGCTACGCCTGTTTCACCATTGGTGCCCTTTGACGTTTCCTTAGGTGTCTCTACGTTGCCCTCCGACTGAGAATGGCTGGTTATTTCCGCTAAACTCGTCATGACCTCTTCATACTCGATCACACCTGATTTACAGATCATTTACGTCATCGATATGAGGAACGCAGAAAGAAAAAAAAAATCTAAATGCTCTTTTTACCTGGCTTCTCGAAACCCGTATATTTACTTTGAACAAATTGCTCTAATAACTTTTCCACCGTCATATCGACACACTGTCGCTTGAAATCGATATGTACCTGGCCGACCTGCTCGTGATTGGTTTGCAAAACATCGGCATATGTATTCAGAAATTCTTTCATATGCTTCAGATGTGTCTCTTCCACGTCTTGGAACCGCTTGGTAACGAAAATGTAAATTAATTAGTATGCTTTGCTGATTCTTTGTATAATATTATTTCATAAAACCTAACTTTTGCGATTTAATCTAAGATTAATACCCTGCAAGCTTGAGTCATTTTTGCTTCAAAGTCGTTTCGTATGACCGTGTACTTGTCTACCAACGTCCTGTAATCATCCTGTGCCTTTTTGAACTTGCCCTCTATTTTCTCCAGCTCCCTCTGACTGGCATTGTCTTTTCTCAATTTTTCTAATTCGAGGCGCTTTTGCATACACATATCCTTCGCTTTATGCAATGTTATTGTAATGCTCTGTATACTTTGTACAACTTCTAAGGTAGACGATTCTTCTTCCTTCACCTAAGTATTGTTGATAAAGTGTATATTATTCTCTGATTAAACTGTTCTAATTAATGCAAATAAATTTGATGCACAATACAATTAATTCTTTGACTATTCAAGTATGGACTGCTAATAATCCCCGTTTTAGCACATAAGCAATGCAAAAGACAGAGAGAAGAAATAATCCAAAGAAATAATTTTCGAGATTTAAGTTTCGATGATCACAAAAACAGAAATTCAAACGTATAAAGATTAACGTAAAAGTCTGAATTAAATAAAATATATTTTGAATAAATGACAGATAGTGATGCAAAAGTGATAAGAAAAAAGTGAAATTTCATAAAATACTTATTTATATAATCTATTGACCTTTAAAAAGAACAGATATTTTTGTACAGATTTGTGTATGTTTAATAACATTATTATATTCCTTTGCAGATATTTTTTTTCATATTTTCATTTGTCTTATAAGTATTATAATACAACTAATTTTATTAATTTACATTTATGATTTATAATATATCTAATTTTAAAACGTTCCAAAATTTTAAAAATCATATATAGTTTTAAATTGTTAAAAACGTTACTTATAATATGCATATTTACATTTCTAGATTTTAATTTATCAAAATACTCATGAGAAATACACAAACTATTTTAGAGTAGAATCTATAATTAGTAACTATTTTAAAGTAGAATCTATAATTGCTTATACATAAGATGTTTTATTTATGATTTTCATATTTTTATTTGTATATTGTTTATTTACACCCTTCTAAATAATATATAACTATTTTTATAATTAATATTTGTTCATAAAAAATTCAATTCTATTGCACATACAATAAAATACATTGCAAAACTTAGCATTCCTATTACATTCTTATAATAATCAGTAATCTTGGTCAAGATTTTTGACAAATTTTTAGTCGTAACTGTAAATTCGTAAGAAAATTGACTAATTATTATACAATTATTTTTCTTAGCATCAACTGTGATTGATTAGTTTTCTTAAAATGACTAAACATTTGTTACGTATAAAGACCTTCATTGATATCTATATATCGATATATATTACTTCATTTATAATGTGAAGTAAGCACTAGCAATCCATGTTTTCGTAATCAAAGAGTTAATTATATACGCATATACATTGATAGATAAGACTTCTGCACATCATCGACTCAATTGCTTGATGATGAGAGAACCTACTGTCCCAAATGTAGGCGGATACTGATAACGGATAATTTGTGAAACATATCTAACATATTCTATGGCAAAATGTGACAATCATGAATAAAAGATTACATCTTATCTTACCTTGCGAGATCATAATCAAATAAGACATCAATGAGAATTTTGAAATTTCTCATCAACACAGAGAGAAACATTTCTTTAGATTTAATATTCCTATTTGCTTACATTTGTTTCATCAAGACAACATAACTTTATAACGTTTATATTTTTTGAATAAAGATATTGATAAACTTTATTAAATTCTAAATTATTCGATACAAAAAAGCTATTATTTGAAATATTTCTCAAAGATTTAGATATGTTAAATATTGTTTGTAATGAAATAAATATTTAAACATAATGTAAGACATGTTTTAGTTAAATGAAAAATAAGAAAATATTATTTCTTTCAATAAATTTATTTTTTGAAGCAATTGCTGCAAAATTTGGTCAAAACTCCATAAATAACTCCATAAATAACAAGATTATAAAATCTATGATTATGGACAATAAACATATCGATTTTAATCGTATAATGTATGGATACAACAGTTTTTCATTGTTTATCAATTTTTAATTACATGATGATTTGATGATAATATCAAAGATTGCATAATATAATATATGCATAAAATATGCATATGTCGCAATAAAATGTTTAGGTCATAATATTAGATTTTCGAATTTAATATTTCAAGAAAGAAAAAAATGAATGCTTTCTCCATTGTTTTTAGAAACATGTGATTTAGTGCATTTCTGCAATGTTTGTTGATAAATAACACATGATGTTATTTATGATAAATATTTTAAAAATATAATTATCAAATCATAATCTTTGTATCTTAGTCTCCGACTCAGTATAATTGTTTAAGATTTATAAAAAAATTTGTAGAATAATAAAAAATGTGAAAATTGTTTTAAGTAAAAAATTAAAAAAAAAAAAAAATAAATGAAATTGCTTAACTAAAAATAATAATCACATAAAAGATAAATAAATGTATTTTTTCGATATAAGAAGTTTATTCAAGTTAAGAAGTTTATTCAAGTTAAAATTTGAAGAAATATTTCTCCTAGTAAGTATGAAAAATATTAGTTATTTTTTTTTTTTTTAGTCAAAAGACTTAGGCAATAAATTAAAAATACAGACACAATTACATACAGCCTTATGTTTCTTATGCAATTCGTCGGTGTATTTTGAGACATCTTTTATGAGTTCGGATACCCGCTGGGCCATCTGGAAGTGTAAAACGGCGAGTTTCTCGGCAGCACCTCTCAAAGCAGCCCATACAGGTGCAAACGTTCCTTGCGTGCTATTACTCGCCTGTTTTGCTACCTTACTAAGGAGTTTATAATTGTTTTCCTCTATGGCTGATCTTTCTCGCAAAAATTCAGCCAATTCCTTGCTGGCGATTACACCATGCTTCATGTTATGATATAACACGTCAAATCCATTATTCTTTTCGCCCTTGAATAGTAAACAAAATAATACTTCAGTATTTCTGTCAATTAAATTTAATTCATCAAATTCAAATCACTTCTTACAAATAATAACAATAATATTCATTCTAATTTGCTTTAAGACTTATTTATTTCGATCGTTCAAAGAAGAAATTTTATTTTGAAAATAAACTGAAAAAATATATACTTTGTTTAATTAAAAATGCGTTAATTTATGTAATTGTATATGTTTATTTATTTTACAATTTTATGTCTTCATTTTTAATGTCGAGATGCCGTAATTTGTATTTAACCATTCGTAAACTTATATTTACTGAACAGTCTAAATGAGAGTAAATCTATAATTTCTATCCTATATATATATATTTTTTTAAACACCAACAATTTATTAATTTTTTTAAATTGACGAATTTTAAATATTAACTTTTCCTTAACGAAAATATCGAAGCTTCAATAATTTTGAAATTGCCAGTGATTGAAAAAGGAAATTTTCTGCGGATTAAAAATACATTAAGAAAATAAATAACACAGGACATTATATTCTTTATGACCTCAAGTGGATTTTCTTTATTAAAATAGAATTTCATAATTTTAAATAATATCTTGTCTGGTACCGTATTCTTTCTGACCCACCCTTACAAATATATGTTTCAAATTTGAAAATCTAGTAACTGAATGAAATAAAAAATATGATAGAGGGAAATTGCATGAATTATTATTTCTATATTAGAATCCTTGTATAAAAGTATCGCAATTAGAATATTACAATTGAAACATACGTGTTGAAATGGTACTTAAAATCATTTAACCGTTTAACATTTGAACTCTGATCATGCAGTAAACCTACATTGAGCAGAACTCTCGAGTGACATCGCCGTAATAAGGTGTCATTATATATTATTGCTCTTGTCATCCTATTGTACCGATTGTTCGCAGCAGCTATACGTCTCAATTTCTTCGCAATTTTATTTCTTTTGTAAAGAAATCTTCCATAGCCTATTTGATATTTTACATCGTATTTAAAATACAGAGATATTTTGATTATTGCGATTCTGGAATTATTGTAGATAACAATTTCATACTATATCTTTTCCGAATTATGTGATTAAAATGTAATAAATAATTTAAAATAAATGTTTCGATGTATTTGTATATCTGAACAATAGTGAATAATGATTCTAACGTAATTGAAATGACGTGACACGTAGAAAGATAAAAATAGCGATTTATTTCTCTCAAATAACGTATCAAGAGAAAAAAAATGTTTAAACAAACAAATTTTCTATATTGCTTTTCCAAACAAAATAATTTTTTTTCTATTAATAAAGTATTTAAGCAGAAAAATTTTACTTTATTATTTCCTTTCTTTAAAATACGAACCAATATAAATATTCACAATTTAAAATTTAATACTCAACTGTAAGAATTGTTTTGGAAAATTTTCACGCGCATACGTGAGTGTATAGCAATAATCTTTCACTTTACATATATTATCATTCCGATTCGATTGCAGTTTTGATTGTCATAGCATTCTGACAATATTACCCGTAATAATGGGACACTCTTGTAATGTTCAATGTAGACTACTCGCAGGGTTAAAAAAAGGAAGTGACAACTATCTTATCAAACAAGCGTTGAGAGAAAGATAAATATGTCTAATTAGTCAAATAAATTTGTAGTATCCTTAAAAAAGCTTTTCATGATGAAATATATACGGTGAAATTTATTGCTTATTAAGTTCTCTGATTTTCAATATTTCTTGAAAATTCCCCGACTTTTCAAAGCATAAATAAATTTTCTGAGAATTTCAGATTTTTTCAGGTAACACTTTGGTGTAAAAAAGTAATCATGTTTTTTTTCTTTTACTTTACTATTAACGCATGTTTTTATTGCATATAAATTTGTGTTATTAATCAATTATAAAGATATAAACACACACTCATGAAATTTTATGAAGGCTGTATTAAAGTTAAATAATATCCAAACATTATTAATCATAATTATAGAATAAGCGGAGTAAATAATAAAATTTCAAATTTGAAATCGGTCTGAAATTAAGGATATATTACACATATTTTTATTATAAAAAAATTATAAATTATACTAGATTGCATTTAAAATATAAAAAATTTGTTGGCGAACTGTTAAAACTCGGATTAAAAATTGTTTAAATATATAAAATATATAAAAATAATTTAAATATAAAGAAATGTGCTTTAATAGAAATGTAATTAAGAAATAATAAGAAGATAATAATAAGAAATAACGACAAAAATCTTATTCTTTTTTTATATAAATAAAGTATTGAAGCAAATTCAAGATTTATGTAAAGTTTTATTATAATGCAAATATTAATTTTTAAATAAAAATTAAATTTTTACTTAAATATATTAAATATTAATAAATGTATTAATATTTAATATATATTATTAATATATTTATATATTACATTAAACATTCTATTCTGTAAAAATTAAATTTGTTTATTTATAGAACAATTAATCTTTACATCGTAATGAAACTTTACATAAATAATTTTGAATACTTAAAGCACTTTTATAAGAAAATTGAAGTTTTTGGTCATCATTTCTTAATTATATTTCCATTACAGCACATTTTTATTCATTTAAATAATTTTTATCAAATTCTGAACCGCTACAAACATTTTTGTATTATTTCTAAATGTGATTAAAATGATCTGTAAATTCTTCATAATTTTTTTCATTGTAAATATAAAAATTATAAAAATATATGTGAAATACATCCTCAAGAGGGATCGACATTTCAGTCCTTGCGAACTCAATACGAATCAACGAGGATTTCCTTTGTAAGCGAATCTTTAGCGCTCGGCTGAAGATTCTTGCCAAGATATATGTTGCTAGGAACAAGTGTGAATACTTCTGCAATTAGAGGAGACTAATTGCGGAATGGTATAAACATGGCGAAAGAAACCGACATCGCGGCAGGTGTCCTTCGACTTCGCGCGCAAGAACGCGTAGTCCGAACTTCGTATACGACGAACAGTGCGGCATACAGAAACGCGACATGTCAACGAGCACGGATCAGTTATTTCTTTTCTTTACGCGTTTTACGCCGTGCACGTTTCGTCTCGTGCGAGGCGTGAGAACGTAGTAAGCGCCCGCGCGCACGCACGCACCACGCACGCACGTACGTAATACGAAAGAGAGAGAAAAACGAAAGAATGAAAACGGGAGGGGGGAGAGGCGTACACGTCGATCGCGCGCGATAAAGACAAAAGCCAATCATAATGCCCATTTCTCTCTATCAACACAGACTTAACTTTACAGTTTAACTTACTTTTCACTTTTTTCTTTCGGTTCCAAGAATTAGGAAAAAAAGAAGAGTAAATTAAATCAAGATTTAAATTAATAGACGTTGGGAGAGATGTGCACAGGACATCTTGGGATGCATATAAAAAAGCGGGATGATAAACGATAGGGAGAGATAAGGGGAAAGGAAACTTCATTGACGAATATATCGCGGGGCAAAGCATCAAGAGAGGTAACGATCGCGAAGAGGGAGAGGACAAGATAGGACAAGATCCGACAAGACATGACAAGACAGGGCACAATAGGACACGATAAGACAGGACAGGACAGGACAGGACAGGACAGGACAGGACAGGACAGGACAGGACAAGACAAGGCAGACAGGGCCGAGAAAATCGCGATGGCCAGGAGATCACGACGGTCGGGACACATTCTCCCGCAACATAACCTAAATTCACGCGCGCAGTCCGATTGCCGAAAGTGACATTTCGCAGTCGCTCGTTACGGCGAGAGGAGCAGAGACAGATACACTGAATAAGGAGGAAAAACAGTCACGCGAGCGAGAAAGAAAAAGAAAGAGAGAGAGGTCGAGTCTGAATACTCACCCAGAAGTAATCGACAAAGTCCACGGTCATGTTGGGACCGCGATCAGACCATCATACCACTTCGCCCTCGGCTTCGCGTATGTATCTCGGCGCAAATTGCACCGCACTTCCCCCTTTTACTCGCAAGCTGCAGCGCACACGGCACACGATACACAGCACACGGCGGTGTTGCACTTTGCGACCCGATGACGACGACGACGACGACACTCGAACAATACGCTCGGCTCACTGAACGGCGGCGACTAGACTCGGCGTGAAGCTCGCCTGCTACCGGGGAATCGCGAGCGGAACGGGCACGCTCGAACGCAGAGGTACAGGTCAACTCGATTCGACTGTCTCTGTCGCGCCGCTCTTCCTTTTCCTCCTCCTCTTCCTCCTCCTGCTCCTCCCTCCATCCCTCTCCTTCGTAGATCCTAATTCTCTCTCACTCATTCTCTTTTTTTTTCTCACTCTGATTCTCTCTCCGTTTCTCTCTCTCTCTCTCTCTCTCATTCACTTACTCTTTCTCTCTCTCTCCCTTCCTCTCTCTGTCTACCCGCCTGTCTCTGTCTCTGTCTTGATGCGCACGCGCCGTGCGACTGGCGGCGACTCGTTTCTAACATCAGCGTGCAGCCAATGAGATTACAGTACTGACGCATCCATCTCAGTAACTGAGTTTCTGATCTCGAAATTCGAATAATATATATCAAAATTTTCTATATTATTTTAAATGATCATCTGGCATAATTTATAAAAATATAACATTCATTTAATATTATAATGTTATTTATAATCTAATATCTATGAAATGATTATACTCATGTTTCAAATGTTCGTTCAAATCAAACGTTATGCTTTTTAAGCGCAACTATAGTTGGCGCTGATTCGCGCACGTTTTTATTGGTTAATTATTTACCATTGACATGAATGTTTATTACGATTCGAACTGAAGCCTTCTGCCATCTCTATAAGACGAATGAAGTATAAATAAAATTAGTGCATGTGTAAAACAAGTCGGTAATATAGAATTTATATTCGATTAACATTTATTTTAATGTTTTCTTTCTTACAATTTTTGTTTACAATTTGTTTTAAAAAATAAATAAAATGCAAAAAACATAACTAAAAAACATAACTAAAAAATAGCTAGAAAAATTTTAATATTTTTAATTTTATAAAAATAAAATAGTTATTTATTTATATCTTCTTTCTCAAAAAGAATGTTCTCTATGCAATTGCTTATATTAACACTTAATAGTTTTTATATAACATATATCCATTATACATATAAATTTTATTTTTAAATATAAAGTTAAAATTTGTCTCACCTAGCAACTCAAGTCTTGATAATAATCCAGAAATATTTTAAAAACACTAATCTATACGGTAGAGCCGTGCCTATTTTATCTCCGTAAAAAATATAAGACATGTTTAAATAATACAGATATTAACTAATAATACAGGTTGCGCTAAACGAAATAAACGAAATAAAAATTAAACGAAATAAAATTTAAAAATCTAAATATATATAT